AACACTGAGCAAGTGCATTGAGCACATTACTGACTGGATGACTCAGAACTTTCTCCAACTGAACAAACAAAAAACTGAGATCATTGTTTTTGGAGGAAAGAAGGACCGATCAAAAGTAATCACAGAGCTTCAGACGGCAGACTACAAAACCACTAATAAAGCCAGAAATCTAGGTGTAGTGATGGACTCAGACCTGAATTTACCTGCTTTTATTTTCAGTAGACTCGACTACTGCAATAGTGTATTCACAGGGCTGACAAAAAAATCCTTCAGAACGCTGCTGCACGTGTCCTCACTAACACTAAAAGAGTGGATCACATCAGTCCAGTTCTGAAATCTTTACATTGGCTTCCAGTCGGCCAAAGAATTGATTGCTAATTTAGTACTATTGCTAGTTTTTAAATCATTACATGGTTTAGGACCAAAGTATATTGATGAACTCCTACACAATTACGAGCCATCAAGGTGCCTCAGGTCTTCTGGGACGGGTCTGCTATCGGCTCCGAGAGTAACAACAAAACATGGAGAGGCAGCTTTTAGCTGTTATGACACTCTGGAACAAACTGCCTGAATCGTGCACGTCCGCAGAAACGCTTACCATTTTTAAATCAAGACTAAAAACATATCTCTTTGCCGCTGCTTTTAATTGAGCTGCTCATATTCAAACTACAGTATGCCTTTTAAACATGTATTGTATACCTGTGGTGTTTATTTGTATTATAAATGCCATTATAAAATGTGTTTTTACTGTATTTATTCATAAAAAGTATTTTCATTTGTTTTGCAAAGCACTTTGAATTGTCGCGTACAGAAAAGTGCTATATAAATGTGCCTTGCCTTGCCTTGCCTTGCCTTGCCTTGCCTTGCCTTGCCTTGCCTTGCCTTGCCTTGCCTTGCCTTGCCTTGCCTTGCCTTGCCTTGCCTTGCCTTGCCTTGCCTTGCCTTGCCTTGCCTTGCCTTGCCTTGCCTTGCCTTGCCTTGCCTTGCCTTGCCTTGCCTTGCCTTGCCTTGCCTTGCCTTGCCTTGCCTTGCCTTGCCTTGCCTTGCCTTGCCTTGCCTTGCCTTGCCTTGCCTTGCCTTGCCTTGCCTTGCCTTGCCTTGCCTTGCCTGCCTTGCCTTGCCTTGCCTTGCCTTGCCTTGCCTTGCCTTGCCTTGCCTTGCCTTGCCTTGCCTTGCCTTGCCTTGCCTTGCCTTGCCTTGCCTTGCCTTGCCTTGCCTTGCCTTGCCTTGCCTTGCCTTGCCTTGCCTTGCCTTGCCTTACAGAGGCTGTCTAACTCCATGTTCAATGAAGACTCCTGATGGAGGAACATCAGAAAAAAAGCTGGAAAACTTAATAAAACGTAATCCTTCTAATCTCAATGTTCCTCACAGCAGTGCATGAAAGGGAAGTAGTTGATATTGTAACGAAATGTAAAAACAAAAAATCTACCGATTGTGATGACATTGACATGACTGTATTAAAAAAGGTTATAGATGTTATTTCAAAACCATTCACACACATACTTATCATTCCAAACTGGTGCATTTCCTAACAAAATGAAAATAGCAAAAGTCATACCTTTGTTCAAAGCTGGGAACAAACTTCACTTCACAAACTACAGACCTGTCTCACTTCTACCACAATTCTCAAACATTCTTGAAAAGCTTTTCAATAACAGTCTGGACAATTTCATAGAAAAACACAAACTTCTCACCGAAAGTCAATATGGATTCAGAGCCAATAGATCAACATCGATGGCTTTAATAGACTCACTTGAAGAAATTACTAGCTCAATTGAAATATTGGAATATTCATTGACCTAAAAAAAGCATTTGACACAATTAATCATGACATATTAATAAAACAACTGGAACGTTATGGAATCAGGGGTGTAGTTTTGGAATGGAGTTATTTAACCAACAGTTTGTGAAGCTGGGAGAGTGTTGGTCTTCATATTTGGACATTACATGCGGTGTCCCCCAGGGGTCAGTATTGGGGCCGAAACTATTTATTATGTATATTACATTACATTACATTACATGTCACTTGTTAGACGCTTTTATCCAAAGCGACTTACATACTCAATACTGTGGACAATCCCCACAGGAGCAATTTGGGGTGAAGTGTCTCAGGGACACAACGACATGCTGACTGCAGTGGGGTTTGAACCTGTGCTCCGCTGATCCGAACACCAACGCACAACCCACAACCCACTGCACCACACGCCTTTATTAATGAAATATGCAATGTATCGACAGTACTCAAGTTTGTTTCGTTCGCTGATGACCCTAATATCTTTTGTTCTGGGGACAATGTACAGCTACTATTGGAAGAGATCACAGCTGAAATATGCAAACTAAAGTTATGGCTAAACAGTAATAAGTTATCATTAAACTTGAATAAAACAACATTAATCATATTTGGAAATAGCAATACACAAGCATCCATTAAGATAGATGGGATTTTCATTGAGAGAGTTAAAGAACATAAATTCCTTGGAATCTCAATTGATGAGAAACTGAGCTGGAAACTTCACATAAAACATATTCATTCCAAAGTCTCAAGAAGTATTGCAATATGAAACAATGCAAAACAGATTATTGATCATGATTCCCTCTCTTTACTTTATTGGTTTGACCTTATTTAAGTGCAGAGGTTTGGAGCAGTCATTATGAAGCTGCAACACAATCCCTATTTATTCTACAAAAGAGAGCAATAAGACGGATTAAAAATGTCGGCTATAGGGATCATACAAACCCATTATTCTTAGAGCTAAAATGATTAAAACTGTCAGATCTTGTTTAAGGCAAAACACTTTCAATGACCTGGGAATATTCAGATAATGTTCAATGAAAGGGAATTATTATTTACGGGGTTCATTTATATTCTCTAATGTTAGGGTGCGCACAACAAAGAGACGTGTTTGTGTTTGTGTTTGTGGGGTGAAGACCAGAGGCCTGTACGACGAAGCTGGTTCAACCTAACCTGGATATGTTGGAGTTAGCCGGTTGGCCTAAGCCAAAACATACGCGCTCTCGCTAAGCTGTACTACGACGCTGGTTATCAAGTGGATCGCTCAAGCCAGCCGTGTCCTATCTAGTTAGGTGCGCGTTCACATGAAAGGGGTGGTATTTGGAGCATTCGACCAATCACAAACATGGACAAGCGTACTGACAGCGCAGCGTCATACTTCCTGAATGAAAAGTGAACTTTAATATTAGTCAAATATGAAGAAGTTAAACTTTAAACATCCATGACTTAAACTCTTTATCCAGGATCAAAGCCACATAGCTGCACCTGCAAGGTGAATGCAGCTGGTAACAGAAAAAGTGTTTGAATGCGTACATTAACAGGTTTATGATATCACTGCCCCGTCTAAGACACGATCTGACTTTCATTACATTTGACTCCAGTGTTTCGTCAACTTAATGTGTTGCTTAAAATAATACTTCTGCATCCAGTATGTGACACTGTGAGTGTTGCACGGCCAGATACGGCTCAGCTGACTCAGATAAGGAAATATATGATACATTATGATGTGATATGAATGATAATGGGACACATCGACGTCTGCACTCACAGTGCCGCGGACTGTACTTAATGTTACTCTGATCCGGTTACTTATGTTGTGGCAGATATTTAAGTAAGCTTTCTTAACGCTAATATTATAATAGTCAGATTGCTCTGAAGATGGGAGGGGATATTCTATTAATTTTCACGTTCACACAGTCAGTTGATTTTTGCCGGCTGTCTTTCCTGCAACGGCAGTTTTTCTGTATTTCCTCTATCCTGTAATATGACTTGATATCTTTAAACTCCGCACACGGAGCTCTGATTGGTCAGCAGGCGGTGCTTTCACTGAGTTGATCTCTTAGCCTGCCACCTAACCTGCTCCGGAGCAGGTTAGCCGCTCAGCATAAGTTACCATGGAGATCTAGCCCGCTAAAAAGAGAACCAGCGTCGTAGGACCGGAAAGCCCGAGATTTCCCTGAATTTAGCCGCTAAGCGAAAATCCAGCTTCGTAGTACAGGCCTCTGGAGTGAGGAGCTAAAGGGATGTCCAAACATCAAACTATTCAAAAAGAGGTACAAAGACACAATTCTCACAAGGTACACGGATGAAATTGTGTATGTATGTATTTGTATGTGTACATATATGTATATATAAATATATAGAGACCTAACTTGCCTGTATATATAGATATATATTATATGAATGATTATATCAATTATTCAAGATTATAAGTATACATTTATATTGTATGTTAACATATATTAAGATGTCATTTTTTTCTTCTCAATAGTTAATAATTTAGATTTTGGGAGAAGGGGTCGGATTAAATAAGTGTAAACTTCTTCCGACCCCTTTTCGGAATGAGCTAAAGCTAGTTGTTTATTGATATCAGACAATGATACGACAGATTATTCAATGATTAATTAAATGTTTCGTTTTGTTATTGCACTCATTTGTATAGTATCGTATCATGTCTGTATCACCTTTTTTTCATTTGTATTTTTCTTTAGTTTTACACGGTCGAAAAAAATAAATAAACTAAACTCCCACCCCCTGCAACCTGAGCTTCAGCTTCTTCCATCGGGCCGGAGGTTAATCTCCCTAAAGGTGTAGAACCAAGAGATTTAAAAACAGCTTTCTGGATGTTCTGGAGCCAGAGGGACTTTTTAAAGATGTGTCTGTTGTCTATATTGTATGAAGCATGTGCTACAATGGATACCTTTTCTTACTTCTGCAAACCAAGTTGACCTACTGCTACAAATAAGTACCATGAGAGAAATAAGAGAGTGACTCAGCCGGCGACCACACACCTGGTTCTGGTCTCTGGCAGTAAGCTGGTTACTGGGTCCAGGTCCAGGTTCAGGTTCAGGTTCAGGTCCAGGTTCAGGTCCAGGTCCAGGACCAGGTTCAGGACGAGGTCCAGGTTCAGGTCCGGGTCCAGGTTCAGGTCCAGGTTCAGGACGAGGTCCAGGTCCAGGTCCAGGTCCAGGTCCAGGTTCAGGTCCGGGTCCAGGTTCAGGTCCAGGTCCAGGTCCAGCAGGATGTGGTGTTTGCTCTGGGCTGGAACACAACACACAGAGCTTTGAGTGAATAATGAGTGCTGAGCTGTGACATGGAGAAGAGTGATGGACAGGTGGTGATCTCACCTCTGAGCTTTGGTCTGGCTGTCATGTTCCCCAGAGCCTTTAGAGGGGGGGGCTTCCTCCTCTCTGTCCTCACTCTGATCCATAGCAGAGCCCCCACCTTCACACAAACACAACAACATGCTCATTCATTACCACAAGCTTTACATCACAGGTAGCCCCTCCTCTCAGATATTCAGGAACCTTGTTGGAGCCTCAACAGGACCTGATCAGCCCAGAATGTTCCCCACAGCCCCAGAACCACACAGAAACCCAGTGTGTTGACCCATAAATATGTGTTAGTGTGTCACAGTTTATCACAGCACACACAAGCAGTCACTTCAATGTACATCCACAGGTAATTTACAGCCCTGCCCCCCACTAAATATCCCACACAACTGAACTGCGCTGAGTAACCATTCAATAAAACGTCTTTAAAACATCATTGTTTGGCTAAATATATGTACGTTAATACACAGACCCGGCGTCATGGGCCAGGTCAATTTTTTTATTTTGCTATGAAATGTCCATCCTTTAGCAGCCCAGGCCCAGCTCCCATTCTAAACACTCGTGATCTTGGAGATTTTGGTTGTATAGTTCCAGAGGACCTTGGCGTGGATACACCAAAACAGGAAGTCCTGGATAGTTTTCCATCTCGGCTGTTCTCCGGTGCTCATGGTACCAAAACCGAACCTGGCTTGAATACTCCGTGAAAGGCGATGCTGCGTACTGTTTCCCATGCAGAAAGTTTAAGGCTCATCATCATGACGCATCGTTCACCGTAAAAGGCTTCAAAGACTGGAAGCACGCCTTACAAAAGGACACGGGTGTTAGCAAACACAGCTCTTCTAAGGAACATTTAGTGTGTGAGAAATTGTGGAGAGAAAAACAAATGCGCATCGAGACTGGTCAGGAAATCACAACTCTTGTCAACAAAGATCAGCTGGCTCGTAACAGATATTACGTGGGCTGCATTATTGACATTGTGACTTTTCTCTCTACCAGCAATCTTCCTTTCCGAGGTGACCACGACTCTTTAGAGTGTATGTCCAAGTCTGGTAGTGGGTTCTTTTTGTCATTGTTGGAGTATACCAAAAAGACCCAGAACTCGCGAAAATTGCCCCCACCATTCCCAAAAATGCTACCTACATAAGCCATGATATACAAAACGACATAATTGACCTGATGAGCAAACTTGTAAGGGAGCATATTGCTGAGGAAATAGGCGACTCCTTTCACACTGTCAACATGGAGGGACAGGCTGTGAAAACATTTCAATTGTACTGCGTTTTGTTGATGAGAACTATGTCAAAAGAAAGGCTCTTGACAATCGCCACAGCAGTTGCAGGTGATGCAAAAACCCTCACACAGACACTCATTGATGAAATACGCAAAGTTGGCCTGAGCACAGACAACATTCTCGTCCAGGTATACGATGGGGCAAGTCTTATGTCGGGGAGACACGGTGGGGTTCAAAGAGTCCTTCAAGATGAACTGGGCAGAGAAATCCCATATGTGCACTGCTTCAACCACCAGCTGCACTTGGTCGTTGTTCACACCATGTCCGGTGAGAGAGCCATTGAGGATTTATTCAACATCTGTAATGTCTTCTACAAGTTCACACGAAAGCCCAACGTTGCTGCACATTACCAGGGAAACACGCTGAAGCGTTTACTGGAACAGCGCTGGACAGGGCACTAAGGATGGAGGCAGCAGGCTTGCTGAGCAGAATTTTAAAGCCAAGCTTGTCAACACTGCCAAAGAGTGTGTTGAGGCCCTGCGCACCGAAAAGGTGTTCACGGAGATGTGGAGTGAGTGCGCACAGGAGAGAGAGGATGATACTATCCATCCCGGTCCCACCAAGAGAAGGCGAACTCTTAACACAACTTTGGAGGATTATGTTGTTGAAGAGACAGTGGGAGTGGGAACACAAGAGAACCAGCAGATGACAGAGCAACGGCGGCTGTTTTACAGCTGCATTGATGCAGTTACGGGAGAAATTGCGCGCGGCTTTGGAGAGCGAAACAGCGCACTCATGGAGGCTATTGCTTCACTCAACCCGGAAAGCAGCTTCTTCCTGGAGCCCGAAAAAGTGGAACCTTTGCTTAAACTGACTGGAACCACGCTCGTTGATGCTGAGCTCATTGTGGCCAAAAAGCTGATTCTGAAACACGTGGACAGCTTCACACCAGAGCATGGGAAATGGACATTGAAAAACGTACTTGGTCATCTCCACACGACGCTTGAGGCAATGCCAAGTGTTCTCACCGCATTTAAGGTTTCACTTACCTTTGGAGCTTCCACAGCTTTATGTGAGAACTCTTTTTCCACATTGAAAAACGTTTTCAGTGAGCACCGAAGAAGCATGTCTCACACTCGTGTGGCAGTAGCCGCAGAGGGGAGGATAGGTGAATGTATTTGTTAAAGTTGATTTGATTACACCATTCACAATTCCGACAACACCACCTTGGGAGTTTCACCCAAGGAAATATGAACAGGTTTTCAGTTATAGAGAGGACACATAGGTTTGAATACTAATGAAGCAGGAGACGTGGTTTCAATTGATCAAAAATATACAATTTTCTTTAGTACAAGTGAATAGTTCAAATGCAGTTCAAAACAGTCGCACAGGGCGGTAACACAAAGGGACAAAATGAATTAGGGGCTGAGGCTTACCAGTGGGGGGATAGGGTCGACGAGTGAGTGGAAGGATCCCCAAACAAACCAAACTTAAATCCCCCCAGTCATACGTGCAGGAAATCAAATCCCGGGGGAGCACATCACCGACAGAAGGAGGGAGGAAGACCACCACCTTGGACACCAGCACCACCAGCTTCAGCTCTCAGTAACTACGTTGGGAAACAAAGAGAGACACGCAGTTAATGGGGGCAAAACACACACAGTATAAAATATGTTCTCATAAACAGATGATAACAACTTGTGTGAACATTTAAAATAAAACAAATCACAAGAGAAAAGGTTCAGTCAAACAAAATAAACAAACTAGTTTAAATCATGTTGGCCAAAGTAAGGACAAGTTATAGAGGTTGTGACGTTACTGCCGATAAACACACTTTCTCCGGTGAAGCAAAACAGCAGATGTCCCTTAAACATTGGATTGGATTAAATACAAATACAGCGTTAATATCAATAAAAGTAATGAGGTGGATTGACTAAATAGATCGCCGTACAGCGCACATACCGATCAGGCTTTCCTATCGATGACGCCGAGAGGGGAGAGCTTCACGCTCTTTATGGCAGTGTTGACAGGCTGCACCCGGAGGACCCTCCACTAGGTGAGGTAAAGCAGAGCGAAGTATCAATACGCTGGCACATTGCAGAACCTTTGATACATGCTTCAAACCCTGGACTTCCTAATAAGCAGTGCTTCGAAGCTTGCTTCAAATCACGTGACATATGATATAATCAGCAAACTGCTTTCATTTCCTGAATGAATCAACTCACTGGTTCGCCGTCCAATCAGGTGATTCAATGCACTGCCTCGTCTCGAGTCTGACAGGTGACAGGTTGAGACAGTTTCAAATGTGAGCGCTTCAACACTTTATAACGGCTCTAAACAATGCGCAATGTGTGGGTTGTTGTAGTAGTTTGCATTTGTATGGATCATTATAGAGCAAGCCAGGAAGAAAGATAGGTCGTTGTGAAACAAAAAGTCAATTATCAGTATTCAAATAAAAATATGTAGTTGAAAGAATAGATGGCCCAGTGGATAGGGCCGGCGGCCCGCTATGCGGCGATGTCCTCCGGGCAACTGGTTCAAATCCTGGAGTGGACGAACTTTTAATCATTGCCCGCTTTTCAACTTTAATACTATAACTGATAAAAAGTAAATAAAATAAAAATAATAATTACCTCAATAAAGATCTTTGAGTGTTCCCCATCCCACATAATCACCCCCTGCCATAATTACACAAGCACACCCAACCAATGCCACATTGTCGTGTGTGTGTGTGTGTGTGTGTGAGTGTGTGTGTGTGTGTGTGTGTGTGTGTGTGTGTGTGTGTGTGTGTGTGTGTGTGTGGTGTGTGTGTGCATCAAATATGTTTCAAGGCAATGATACGTTAAACCCACTGCAGCCTTGCACTTCGCCAGGAGAGGTCGCTGTAACTGAAGCTTCGAGAAATGAACCTATTTCCGATACAATTGTCCAAGTGGTTCGATGCTTCATTCAAAGCTTCATTTGCCCATCACTAAGAACCTTTCCTGAAGCGAGCAATGCTACTGCAACATACCTGCACCGGTGGCGGAAGCAAACACGGCAAACACGCAAGTGGGGTCTGTGTCAGTGTGGTCATGTTGTCTGTGTGTCAGTGTGGTCTGTGGTTCTGTGTGGTCTGTGTCTGTGTGTTTGTGTCTGTGTGGTCTTGTGGTCTGTGTGGTCTGTGTGGTCAGTTGGTCTGTGTGGTCAGTGTGGGTCTGTGTGGTCTGTGTGGTCAGTGTGGTCTGTGTGGTCTGTGTGGTCTGTGTGGTCTGTGTGGTCTGTGTGGTCTGTGTGGTCTGTGTGGTCTGTGTGGTCTGTGTGGTCAGTGTGGTCTGTGTGGTCAGTGTGGTCTGTGTGGTCTGTGTGGTCAGTGTGGTCTGTGTGGTCTGTGTGGTCTGTGTGGTCTGTGGTTGTGTGGTCTGTGTGGTCTGTGTGGTCAGTGTGGTCTGTGTGGTCTGTGTGGTCAGTGTGGTCTGTGTACCTACAAACAAGAGACAGCCAGCTTAGAAACCTCTGCCCTTGTTATAGGTGGTGATATGCCTCACAAGAACCAAACGAGGAGAATATGCTTTACAGGGGATTAGGACTCTCATCCTGCTACACTCGGAAAGCACATTTAATTCAACTTGGTTTCGAGAAGGACCTGACAAAAAAATGCAAGAATGAGTGGAAAGACATGTTGCTGAGGAGGTTCCATTCAATCTGGGAACGTCGGCTCCAGCTTTATTAGGCCCACCCCGAGTACACATCGTGTAAGTAAACAATCACATCACGACGTGTAGGCTAAAGCTGTTTGTGTTTCAAGCTTTAAATGTGAACAAAACTATTGGGTATTTTTCAGTGTGTTTTTTTCACTGTATGTTTGCCAATATATTTGTTTATTTGTTATTTGTTTAATTCCACTTCTTTACGCCAAGAGACACACATCTGCTTTAAAGGAGTACGTGCAAACTGATGCTTAACATGTCATTTCCTCCTGATGCTCATCCTCTGAAATTAAAACACATTTGTATATTATATTTGTATATTTTCTGGCAGTATTCTGTTTTTTGCTGCATAACTAAAGCCGTCTGATATTCTATTACATCTTTAAATGTTAACAGCCTTGACTCAATAAAGTGTTTGTTCTGGTTGTACACTATGCAACATTCTCACAGCTGTTTTGTGCAATGTAATGAAAGGTTTTAAATGACTCATAGGTGTATATATGAGTATGAGTCAGCTGCATGCTGGTTCTGCTCGACGTGTAGCGCTGCTGTTCCTCCATGCTGCTGAAGTGCTGAAGTGGGTTATTGTTGTGCCTCTGCCCTGAGCACGAAACATTTGGAGCTCAGAAAAATGTATTTTGCAAATCAATTCTATTTTGAAGATAAAAT